GAGAGAGAGAGAGAGAAATATGAGAAATAGTCTAAGGAAAAATAAATAAACATGAGAGGTCACGACTGGGAGTTGGGAGTTGGGGAGGGGGGGTGCCACCACACGATAACTGGATTTACCGGCAGCTCAACTTGGCAATCATGGACTCTTACGGAAAAGGCTGCGAACACGGTACCGTTTCGGTATCATAGTCCACTGCACTCGAGTACTGTAAGGGTGGATAATCCGCAGCCCTATGATACCATCTATCCCATGCTACGAGTATGATACAGTATCACACCCTCCACCGCACCATACTTTGTACTGTACCGTATATATCAGACAATATTCCCACCAGGCCAGGCCAGGCCAAGTCGGGAGAATTTTAACGGGTCCACCCATTCCACAGTTCATGTTACGGTAAGTTAGGTCAGGTCGGTCATGTCAGGCGGAGGAGGGAGGGAATAGAGGAGAAAGTCCGCGACCCCGTCTTTCTTTCTTTCTTTCTCTCCCTCGGGTACGGTAAGCAGTATCATACGAGTAGATTGCTTTTTCCCTTTCATTTCCCGGACCAAGGTCCGTACTTGTATGATACCTTTGATACGGTATTATACCTTGCCTACCTTGCCTACTCGTATGATGATATGATACCGGAGCCTTACCTTACCTTACCTTACCTTACCTTACCTTACCTACACTAGGTACCCGCCATCATGACATAATTCACTCTGTACGGGTACTCACACAGTACGGTACTCGTACAGTGCTCGAGTGCCTGCCGTACAGTACAGTACCTACCTTCATAGCTTATCAAGAAAAACCCCTAGCAAAAAAAGTCCAATTACTAATGTGAAGGGGAAAAAATCATACTCGTATGTATTGTCTTGGCAACGGACGTCATGCAGCCTTTTTTTTTTTCTTTCCCTTTTTCCCCTCTTTTTTTTTTTTTTTCCCCCCCCTTCCATTCCCCGGTAGCTAAAGTGGTTAACCTTTGGCCCTGACCGTACCGTACTACGAGTACCCTTTTCTTTTTTTTTCTTTTTTTTTTGGCAGAGTGGGGCCGGATCTTCTCCGTATCGATAATACCGTAACCTTGCTGGAACTGAATTGGATTGAATTGAATTGAATTATCATAATTTCTCTTCTCTTCTTTTTTTTTTTTTCATTTCTCTTCTTTCTTTTTTTTTCGGAAAAAAAAAAAAAAAAAGCTTCATGATACCTTACCTTACGGGTACGGGTACGGTATCGGTGCGGTAGGTTTAGGAGTTAAGTAGATTTAGGGGTATTACCGTATTGTGCTTGTGTCCCCGGGATGGTTACCGTACAGTACGATGGATCTTCGGTATGACGTATGGTAAGGTTAGGTTTTATTTCGTACCGTACCGGTACTGCAGGTATGATAATATTATGTATTCTTTTTTTTTTTTTGATTTTATGAGTTGTGATTATAATGGGTAGGTTGCTTACGGTAGTGGGTTCATCGCCGATTTGGTGCGGGTTGGGTGAGGGGTATGTATGATAGGGTTGAGGGTTTTTCTTTTCTTTTCTTTTTGTTTGGTGTGTGTAATCTATGTTATGTGTGGCGGTGGCGTCGAGTTTGTGTTCTTACCGGTACCTTATGATGTGATTTTCCTTTTTTCTCTTTCTAGAATTGGTAATCTTCCGGTGCACCTGTGATACGGTATCATATCATACGGACAAACACGTGGGGGTTCCCCTTATTTTTCATTTTTCCTTTTCCGGGTTTTAGGTGGTGACTTGCTTGCTTGCTTTCCTGTTTTGCGGAGGAGACAAGTGTTTGGTATCATACTCGTATGATATCTTGTGGGTGGTTGGTTATGTGTTACCGCTTTCTTCCCTTCTATTAGTCAACGATTAAAAAAGATCTTGGGTTTTCGGGGAGTCCCTTGCCGGTTACCCCCCACAATACTCGTATCGTACAGGGTGGGGAATAAAGTTTCCTTCTTCTTCTTCAGGGCCCCGTGCCTGTGCCCTGGATGAAGGGATGGTCCGTGGGCTTTTGCGCCAGCCGAGTTTTGACCGATGCGGCAGTCTACGAGTAAGCTACGAGTACCGCACCAGTGCAGCAACCGTAGCACATGTCGGTAAACGGCGATGTGAGGGGGGGTACCGGTATCCCAGGTGCTGTACGGAGCACTGTATCTAGGTTTCGATACGTATGATACCAGTATCACGGTCATTACGATACGCTCACTTCCACTCCAGTACGATGATCCAATACCACAGGCACCTGTCTAGTTTATCGACCTGTCAACCTGTCAACCTGTCAACCAACCTGTCAACCGGACATCGCCCATCGCGCGCAAGGCCGAAAAAAAGGGAAGCAGTGGGAAAGGAAGAAAAATTCTCCCTCCCATCGGCGTCTTCCGGATTCCGTCCTCCTCCTCCTGTCACCACACTAGGAGGAAGAAAGAAAGAACGAAAGAAAGTGAGGAAAAAACATCATTGCTGACATGCTTCATGATTACTTTTTTCTTTGCCCGATATCATGGAACGTCTTAATCGATCAATCGATCATCAATCAATTGCAAGAAGCAAGAAAGCACCGTCATTGGCGTCCAAGATGAAACATCGGATCTGATCTCGAGGATTTTTTTTTTTCCCCACCCCTCCTTCGCCTTGCGCATCGTGTTGGGAGCCGGCCGCCCGGTTGGTTAGGTTGCAAGTAGGTTAGTCTAGCGAGCGGGTGTGGGGGGGGGCTCCTCCCCAGCGTTGAGTCGGGTTGGTGGCCAGCCTACCTGATCGTATGGCTCTCGTTTTGGGTTGTGCTGTATCGTGGGTATGGATTGGTTTGCCTGGTATGATAACGTACGAGTATTATACCGGTAATGGTTTTGACAGATGGGTGCTATCTTGCGGTGATGGTGGGAGGGGAGGTTGAGATCGGGGGCTTTTTTTTCTTTCCTTTTTTCCTCCTGATATCCGTGCTTTGTTTTCGGACGGCCGGGATGGGCGCCCCTTGCATGGGGGTTGGAGGCTGTCTTTTTTTCTAGAACTTTTTCTGTTCTACCTGTACGAGTACAGGCGGAGGAGAGGGAGGGAGAGAGGGAGCAAATGGCTTGTGCGTGTGGGGGAATACTGGTAGGCTACTGGACGTTGGGAGTACGTAAGTACAAGTATCGTGGAGGATGTTTTTTTTACAGTATCGATATCGTACTACCATACTAGCACCGATAGTATGATATGACATATGATATACAAAGCTTAAACTCTCTTTACCCCTTCCAGGAATAATCTAGATTCCGCAAATCCAGATCCCGATAGACACTTGTGCCATTGTTCCCATCCCCAATACGCTTAAGCTTTCAAACCAAGATCAGACAGATCCACAGCTAACTCACCCAGGTACAGTACCGTACAGCACGTCTCTCTCCCTCATCCTCAACAGCTACTCCAGACCGATCCACCAATCCACCCACGCACCGATATAACCGCACGAGTATCATATAATCGTACCGGTACCGGTACCAGTACTCGAGTACAGTACAGCCCTACGGCACGCCCATAAATCAGATGTCATACCAAATCACACACACCCCAAGCAAAATCCTTTGCACCCGTAAACCACCTTACTGTACCACGATTCGCCTCACTTCCCCCTCCCCTCCCCCACACACACATCTCCACACACTCGAATCGTGGAGTACGACAAGTAAACTTCACGCCATGCCATGCCATGCCATGCCATGCCATGCAATGCAATGCACAAAAACAACAAAATATTAAGATTACCTCGAGCGGATCGAGATCTAGATAACCAACTATGATAGCAACGAGGCACTAATGTACCGCACCGGTACTGTACAAGTACAATACAAGCATAGCACAGTATACCAGTAGGGGAAAAAAAGAAAAAAGAAAAAAAACTTCCTTCTTTCCCTCTTCTACTCGAGTACGGTAATGGCAGTTTTTATATTTTATTTTTATTTATTTTAATACTAAACTTGGGATACGCTACCATACTACGATTTTATTTCTTTATTGGCGTCGACCGCGCGATGGCGGCTGTGACGTGGTCGTATTTGCAAGGCGACATGTTGATGGATGGATGAATGGATGTACCGTACTCGAGCAGTAGTCTACCGTTACCGTATGTGACTGCTGGCCGTACTCGTAGAGTGGACTAAAAAAAAAAATTTAATCCACGGAGATGTCGGTTGGATGGTGGGGGTTGGTTTGGTTTGGTTTGGTTGGTTGGTTGGTTGGTTTCGCGGGCGAATGGTGGTTCGAGGGTTGCAAACTTTCTCTTTTTCTCTTTTATCGTTCGAGTACATTGGTCTGAGGAAATAAGAATGTATGATATTTTCATTTTTACTTTTTTCTTCCCCGTTTGGGAGAAAGCACTATGCGTGTGATTATTTTTGGGAAATTTTTCTTCCCACTCGTATCGTACGAGTACCGTACTAGTACGGTAATACCGGTAGGGGTTTGGATGCTGGGAGTCATTACTTGTCACTCGAGGTACTGGTACTTTCCCTGTTGGGGTTTGGTTGTGGGTTTCCCCCCCCCCCCCCCTTACGCTATTTGTATCATCGTGGCTAACAAGATTGATACGGTTATATAGATAGATATTCATTCATCCAATGGAAACCATCAATCTACCTCCTCCACGATATTACTCGTACACTATGGTTATCGTGCCGGCACAACCACCACCACCACCTCAAGATCTTCAGGAGAGGGTGGTGGGCGGGGAAAGGCCGCGCCCGTCTTACCGATTCTTAAAAAAAAACTCCCGAGAACTTCCCTTACCTTACCTTACCTTCCCTCCCGTCAAGTTATTGTATGATACAGAGTGTATACTACATACAAATCAACCCTCACGTGCTCACCTACCCTACAAGTGCAGTACCGTACCTTACCAAGGGAAAAAAAAAACCCCCAAAACTCACCGTATGAAGCTCCACCCGTTACCCGTCATCCTTTTTTTTAATTTCCTCACCCAGTAATCACCCTCCCTTCCCTTTCCCTTCCCTCCTCCCCCTTCCTCAGAAGAACCAAAACCCCCTTCCCCCCCCCCAAAAAAAAAACCACGCGATTCCGAATAGGACTAGCGATGGAATTTGTGCGTTGAGTTACTTGTACTCGTACATGTGCGTCGCGTTGCGTTGCGCGCTTTGGAAGAGCAATTGACCAATGACGCTAAAGTCCTTGAAAATAAAATAAAATATTTTGAATTAAATGAAAGTTACCGCTCTTGCAGTTGAGGTGAGTAACTCTCTCTACAGTGCTCGTTGTTATTCTGGGGAAAAACCCCCCGCGGGGTGCAGGTTGTGGGATTTAGTCTATGGATGCGTTGTCGGTCGCGGGAGGGAAGGGAAGGGAAGGGAAGGGGAAAAAAAGAAAAAAAAAAACTCGTGGTTTTTTATTTTTATTTTTATTTTTATACCTTACCGGTATGGACAAGGGAAAGAAAGGGAAAGGAGGGAAAGGAAAAAAGGGGGTGGTGGGAAGGGTTCGGGATTTGGGTTATGATATCATGGGTGGTTGTTGAGGTTTGATTGGTTGGTTTTTTGTTGTGTTGTATTGTATCATACTCGTACTGGTACTTTGGGGAAGGTACCGTACTCAAGTTAGTTAGTTAGGGGGAGAGATGACAGACGGACTGAATGACTGTTTGTTATGTTTTGTTTGTCTTCTTGAAGGGTTGAGTACGGTACTGTGTGATGCGGCATCATAGATGGATGGACGGAACCGATTGGAGGTTTACTGAGGGATAGACTATTACAGTTATGATACTTGTTGCTCTCGTCAACCGCCCCCCACACCCCCCCGTACATGAGGCTCCAAAATCCACCAACCGAGTGATTAAATGTGAATCCTACATCGTGAGCCCACTTTTCCTCCCACCGCCAGTTATATAGTATCAAAAGTCAGTCGGTATGATACTGCAAAAGCCACAGCCACTATAATCATCACCCCTCAACTCGAAAAGCCACTGCGGGTATGGCATAATAATGCTTTTCCAACCACCCACCCCCCCTCCTTCAAACCTCGAATCTCATCAAATCAAGGAAGGAAGGAACCCCCCCGATCGATCAAAACTCTAAAAAGTCAACTTCCCCCCCCCTTCATTAATCCATCTACGAGTTCATTCCACGCGTACAGCGCTGTAGCGGCAATTGTCATACTCACCACCACCAAGCTATAACTATCCATCATACCCTCCAGCTCATCATCATCATCATCATCATCATCATCATCATCACCACCACCATCATCATCATCACCCGTTCTCATGACCATCCATCAATTGATCCGGTGCATGTACTCGTACTCTACTGCACCGTACGAGAGGGCTGTTTGGGAAAGGGAACGTGCATTCGTGGAGGATTGTAATTATGTGAGATGGATGGTGCGTGAGATATGACAAGTTACCTATAATATAAGACGGGTCCTATGGTTGTTGTCGTTGTCGTTGTCGTTGTTGCGGCTGTGGCTCCCACTTCCGAGAATTACTAGCTATATCGTATGGTGCTGTGCTGTGAATCATGATTGATTGATTGATTGACTGATGGGTGGGTGTGGTGGAGCGTGTGTAGCGGGGCGTTAGAGTCTCAATTGTATCATAAACGTGCGTTGAGAAGCGGTGCGGTGCGGTATAAATTTATCGGGATACATGATTGACGCCGGGATCAGAACGTGACGGGAGGATGATTTTTTTTTTCTTCTTCTTTTTCTTCTTCTATCTTCTTCCTTCATTCCTCCCTCTAGCTCTATTGGTGTGGCATAGGACTTGTGGGTTGCCACATGGTACTATGTATGATATCTGATGGGGTGGGATGGGTGGATTGAATGGCGCCTTCACCAGCCCTCACTCGAAGAGTTTAATCTATCTCTTACGCGGAGGTCCTCGCCCCGCCAGCGGGTGGGCGGGAAATAAGCTGGACTGATTCCTCCTAACCAATCGGCTGGCCTGCCGTGCCCTGGGGGCCAGGGGGAGTATCGTTTGGTCGGCTGGCTGGCGGTTGGGGGGGGGGGGGTCCGCGGGAGGATTGCGTGATGAACCCGATAAGCTTTGTGTGTTTGCCTTGCGATGAGGGGGCCGCCGTTTGCTTGGCTGTGTATATACGTGGTGATGTGGTGGACATCTGGCAGAAATTTACTCGACTCACCCGTGAGTTTGGAGAGCCATGATACCGAGATCGGTAAGGCTGGAGGTGGGAGAGTGCTAGTGTGCTCTTTCTCTCCCAAACGTTGCTGAGAGTGCTTGAGATTCACACGTTAATTGGCCCACTGTTGCTGATCCGTATCGATGGAAATTGTTTGTTGGGCCGTTTCACAACGCACCAGACGTCCATCTTGCGCACTGCGAGTGGGCAGTAATCTCAATTCACAGAGGTATCTCAGCTTCCTCAGAATTTCAGTCTCGTGCCGGTATCCCAATCTCAGACCCTACCCCTATCCATCCATCAAGGTAACACCTTACATCGCGCCGAAGGAAACATTAAAAAAAAAAAAAAAGATGGATATGCAATGCCCCCCCCTGAGGGGAAAAACTAAACAAGAATTTAAAAGATGTAGCCCTGAGCCTGCATTGGTCCATCTGAAATGTTCCTGTCTCCCTGGCGTTCCTCGGCCTGTCGGGGGGTGTTAGTCGTGTGATGTATAAGTTGATAAAGGGATAACTTACAACACCGCGCTGGAAGGACCCGCCCTGGAGTATCTTTTTAACCACTTCCTCTTCTTTCTTGGTACCGAATTCGCCCTCTAGAAGGCCGCCTCCAGCCTCATCGAGAATTCCTTGCGCCCCGTGCCTATAATATTCGTTATCATTGGTCTGGGGATGGAGGGAGAAGACGGTAGTTCATACTTATGGGTACAGAACACCTTGAAGGAACCGACTACGTCGAGAAGACGGATCGAGGGATCTTTTTTCCACTTGTTGAGGTTTTCCACCGACTCTACAAAGACAATAAAGTCCTCGTTCTTGCCTTTGTAGATAACCTTGGTCTGTTCACCGTTTCCGCGTGGCATGTTTGCTTGTTGGTCGGGTTAAAGTGGCGGTTTGAAAAGTTTTGCTTTGGTTGGGTATTGATCGGTAGTATGAACTGCTTGACTGATTGTTGTAGAATAGGGAGCAAAGATACTTGTAGGAGAGGATGGGAAGAGGTTATTTGAATGGAGGGAGAATAGTTGCTCCAGAGTTAGGCCGAGCAGCAATGACATCATAAATGATGCCAAGGAGGAACTTTAAAGTCCCACGACCAGCCCTCTACCCTGCTCGATGGACGTCAATCCCGATAATTCTGCCAATTCCCGGGAGGAAACATAGGGGAGGCCACGGAGAAAAAACTTATTAAAGTCTTCTCTGGCAGGGTTACGGAGAAGCGATCACGGTGATGATGCGCTTTTCAGGGTCCTGCTCGAGCTGGCTATGGGAGAACTAGATCAATCACCATCACGCTCCCTCCGGGGGGGCTTTGTTTTTGGCATGCAAGGGGAAATTTAGGAGGACATACTGTGAGCACAATGAGGTTTGCCGACTCTATACTTCCTCGATGTTTGGGTATTGTGCGGTAGGGTGTTTAAGTGCACTGGGGTGACTGGTGCTGGATATCGTACTCAAGTGGCCGGATTGAAATCAGAAGGTGCCTAAGCGAGTTAGGCGGTGGGGGCTTCTGATTTCAATCCGGCCACTTGAGCATTGGTGCCGTACTCGGCGCAACTAGTTTGAAGCAAGTACTCCGGTGTTTGAGGTAGTGTCATTTGCTAACCGTTTAAAGGGATTCCTGGTATGGCCTAGGTAACTGTTCTGAATTTTTTCGTGGCTCGGGTATCACTATGAGCGAATCTGGGCCCCAGGGTGGTCGGCCGGTCTTTGCACAGGCAGCCCTTGGGTCGTCCATTTGGGCCCTGCTAGCAGATCTACGATGTTTGCGGTTTTTGTCGCAAAAGAGGCCATGCGGTAGCCGGTTCAAACCGCTGCTGGTGGTGGTGGGGTTCCTGGGTTTGCAGGCCCAGTGGAAGGTTGGTGGAAGGTTCGTTTGACCCACATGAGCCACTGTAGCCCCAAGAAGCTTGCTCAGCGGGGCCGTCGGGGATAATGCAGGTCAAGTGGGAGAACTGGACATTTGGCTCCTTCCGGATAAATCTGGACTATGATCGTCGGGTGCCGGTACTCGAACCGTGTTCTTCCTATTCGGGCCCAAATTCCAACCACGACAGTGCGGCTGCTTCTCCGGATTTTCGTTCGGCCCGGCTCAAGGGCAAGGGCAAGCACTTGGCTGAGGGGCAACCAATGCTGGTAATACTCGAGCAGGGTCCAAAATATTTTGCCGTGAAGGCGCTTTATTGCACCTGCAGGCGCCGCTAACGTAAGGGCATTAGTCACAGTAATGTGCCAAGAGAGAAGCACGCGCGCAACGTTTAATATCGCGCCTCGAGGCCTCCACGTGCTCATGCAATTTCACTCATCAATGTTTCGTTCGAAGAGCTTGCTCTTTGGGATTGCCCTACTCGAGCACTCGCCCTCTGCCCCCCCGTCCTTTGGGCCTCTGTAATTTCCCCATTTAGTGGTGCCCTGCTCTTGATCGGTCTCCCGTTGGACGCCCTACAGTTTACCGTACTGTGCTTGGAAGGCCAAGCCTGGCTGCGGGGACACTATTCTAATAGCGCATCATGGGGTGTTATTGCACCGCCTTAAGATACTGGTACCCTATCCTATTGTGCGCAAGCTGCAGGCCCGTGATTTGCCAATAAACTCGCAAACTTCCTGCTGCGGGTGGGTACCGGTTACGCGTTGCGCACTTGTGCACCTGGGAACGAGGCTGACGAAGGGAAACTTGGGAGTTGGTATTACCGTATAGGAGACTTGCATTCGGATTTCTGAACCTTCCAGGCTGAATCTAGAGGTTGTTGCTTTGGTGGCCCACCGGTATTTGTGGTTGGATCTATCATATCAAGATCCTGCAGGCCATGATGTGGGCAGTGTCGTGTCGGTTGGAGCCGGATCCCATCGGGCAAGTACGAGTACTCGAGTACTGTAGGGTGGATATTACCGTGGAGGATCGGTATCTGCCGTGACATGAATTCACTGAATAGCCTTTCGGTTGGAGTTTTCTCATGAGCTTCTATTCGCAGCGAGTGGGTTATTATACGATGCCCTCGGGCAGCAACGATTTGCTTGAGATGCTACAAGTAGTCTAGCCCACAAATGCTAGTGCTGTGAAGCAACATACTACGGCCAACGAAACTATACTCCAGACGCCACTACTACAGGTATCATTACTAACCGTGACCAAATTGATACAACACTACATCACGATGCCATTCACTCCAACCCGCTCTCCACCAGAAAAACCGCAAAAACCACCCCTGGCCACCCGGGTCATCTGTGGTATTCAATAGGATATCCCGTTCGATTGGAACATGGGCACGTGGCGGGCACAGTACACTAGTGTCATTTCAAATCCACATCACAGCCCCTAAAGCAGTAGCTACGAGTGCGGCCGATAAATATATTCGTCACGTGCCTTATCTAAGGACACATCGCAGCCAAAAGGTGCACCGAAATTTTCTTATCAGACTCACGTGACGAATATATCTATCGGCCACACTCGTACAGTACACAACCCCTAATCCCTAAGCTTCCCCCCTCACTGATGCAAAAATGCCATCATAATAATAATATTATTATTATCGTTACTGTTACTAGTATCATACGGATGGTCTTTGGTGAAACCGTAGGTATCATACCGATAATTCACTTTTCTCCGTAGACTGCGACATGTCAACATAATCCTAAGGAACCTCCATTAATCTCATTTCCCCACCGCGTTTCCTTCCTTCTACTGCACTGTATCATACAGGAAACCGACCAACATCCTGTTAGTTACCGGTAGTCAACACTCGAGCGGTAGTCTAACACCTTACCAACCACAGAAATATGAAAGCGCACAAGAAAAAAAACATTTTTTCAAGTATCATACGCAATACCGGTATGGACTAACTAACTGCTCACGATAACCTTTTGGTTTTGTAGAGTTCCCATGAGCCTTTCCTCGGTGAACATGATTGTTTGGTTGGTTGGTTCTCGCAACGTGCCCAGCGCAAATAAGTTAATTACTGTACCGGCAACTGCCCCGGGGTCGGTTTTCTTGAAATTGGGTTATGGTGGATTAACGTGGCGCCACGGATACCGTCGTCGTCGTTGGGGACCCCTCCTGACGTCGAGTGATTAACTTATCATACTCTGGAAGATTTTCCTGGTTTTTCGTTGCTATGGTGGGGTACCTAAATGTTTATATAAAGTTATATTATGTGTGAAAACTATGACGCTCAATGGGTCCGATGGGGTGTTTGCTAGGGGGGGTAGTGCGGTGGACGTGCGGATTCCGGTGAGGGGGTTATTGTGGCCAGATATGATATAAACACTTGCCCTTGATCACACTTTTCACTGCTGTAGCGTTCGCTGTTGGTATTTCGTAGGTGAAGATGGGGAAACCTGTATTCGAGTCATTGGGTATCACTCGTTTCACTTGGGTTCGAATGGTATCGTTGTTTCCGTTGCGTACGGCACGGTGCGATAAGATGCTCACCGGGCGCTGTCGGTGGTGCTGGTGATATCTGTTAGATATGCGCGGAAGGCTTTCGGACCTAGAACGAAAGAGCGGGTATGGGGATGAGGGTAAGTTCCCTGTGAACCTTCTTCACTCATCCTTTTTTCTCAGCGTAATATATTTGAGCTCATCTATCATAGTGTCGGACTGCCGCTTTGGTGACGGAGCGGGGGATGCAATAAGGATTCCAGGTCCCAAACGGGGCCACCCCGCCGGGAAAACCAGTCCTCAAAATAACCGCGGGAGACATAAGCGAAAACTCATTGAAGAGAACACGCCATCTGGGGCTATGGGGGTGGGGGAATTTGGGGTTGGGCTGGTATATATATCGTGCGTTTGGTATCATAACAGTATGACGTATAATCTTTGCTGATGCCTTGTGTAGGGTAGTGCCCTGCCACTGCCGCGGGTGTCTGGGTGTGATGGTGTGATATGTTGAACTTTTGAAGTGGGTTCTCAAGCTGGATTCCCACCCTTGGGGTGTTCCTTCTGTGCAGCTTCTGGGATATATATGGCGGAGTCCCGCAGTGTTTTTGGGGCAGCTGAGATTTACAGAACCTGCGAGGAGGAGCGCGGCGACGGGGGGGTATAATATAGTGTATTGTTAATCGTGGTGTCCATAAATGGATACTGGGAGTAGAAGGCTAGAGTATTTGGTGCTGACAAGAGGGGGAAACCTTATCTCAAGATATGGTAGATGGATGAGTGGTGAAAGGTGGGTTGAAGAAAGGAGAAGAGTGCGTGGAAAGGTAGAGAAAATGGACCAAACTCCGCGAACCGGGTAGATATGATGCTTTACGGTACATACTGTTTACTATCCTCATAAGGTAGTATACCTACCGCGTCATCTGGACGCGACTCTAGATACACAGGCATCTCGAGAGAGTTGGGGTTCCCATCTCTTTTTTTTTTACCCTTCTGAAGCGTGGAGTTTATGCATGCTTATACGGTTTGGCTTGCGGTATACTATCATACCAAGTTAGTCGGGATCAAAGCTTGTTTGCCATCCCATCGGCTCGGATAAGCCATTGGCCCGAGCGAGAGTCCAGACAAGGGAGACTCTCTGGGCTCCCAATTTGGCCATGATAAGGATTTCCTTTTGTGTAAGCACCATTCCTTTTGTGGGGCCCAGGGGAGCAGGACTGGATGGATGTCGATCCTACTCTTGCAATTAGGTTTATGGAAAAGTGGGGGCTATACAGCCCTACAGGAAGCTGCGAGTCGCTCGAGGTCGGCCTTGTGAAGGGGTGCCTGAGGCGCCTCCAGAGGTATCATCATCTCTGTGGGAGATCCCTCTCCCTCCTAGAATTTCTGAGATCTCTGGGGGAAGGCTCATTTTTGCCTGGATATTGCTATCACAGGAATGGGGGGAAACCCTTGGGGCGTGCTGGGCTTGTGGAGTTAATTCGAACAACCAGAATGGGGTTTGTGGAAAATCGACCGACGTTCTCATTCCAAGTGCTTGAAAGCTATGATACTCTTTAGAAGTGCCTGGATACCCCTCGGCCCAGCTAGCTTAAGCGCCTTTAGGGGAAATCTATTAACGCCATATCTCTCCTTACCCCCCCGCTGCCTTTTTTTAAAGGCACCTTGCATATATCTCTATATATCTATAATATTATAATATTATCATAATAAATAAAAATTACTATTATATATCACACCCCAAGATATCCTTAATCCAACGAGATCTTTGATAAAGATATCACATCATTATACACTGAAAGTCTTCTTTGCTACTAGGCCAAGTCCGAGAACGAGTGGGGGATTAGGGAAGCCCAGCAAAGGTTTGATGGATATACCAACTAACTCTCTTCCAGTTCAAACCGCAGCTCAAATATTGACCAACCTGGTTGAAGAGCTCGCCTATATAAGGGCCACCCGTGATCTTTAGATCCAACCTTGTAAAGATTTTTTTTTTTTGCAAGGGGCACAGCCGACCGTTGATGGGTCTATACCGGTACCCTAACCAGTATGGTTCACTTCCAACCCAGTAGGAAAATCCCGGGGCACGCTCGAGCTCAGTGGAAAAAAACCCTAGGGAGATGTATCATACTCTTATGATACAGTCCAGTCCAGCGTTCTTGGGAGGAGGCTATATGGAGCTCACCACCAACCTGAAATTTTTTTCTTTATTTTTTTTGTCCCCCTGTCATGACGCAAAACCTACCAGCCAAGAGTGAGTTTTTCTTCAATCACTTGAATCCTATTCTGATCCTTGACGACTTTGACCTTATTACTATCCTGTAACTCATCCCGTTCCACAAAAATGCGCCGTTAAATTCGCTCGTGCCGGCGGGGCCGTGGCGTTGAAATAATAAAGAATAATAATCCAATATCAGTGACTTAAGGTTTTTATTCAAGGTTTTCTATCGGGGGCAGGCGGATAAGTTGGGCGAATACCCTGACCTCCCCTGGAATAGGAAATACACGGCTCTACCCCGGAATGGAAATGTCGCATGTGCAGAGAAATCCGGATATGGATGTTCGGATAGTTAAGCGGCACCATAAATTAGCGGTTATCACCCGGGGATGCTCGAATAGGAGCTTCGGTTCTCTGACGAAGCCCCGTTCTCATGCACCCGGAAGCAGCACATTTATCAAAAATTCTCATCCTCCCATAATGTGTCACTTGACAACAAAGGACCATCACAGCTCATCACTCGTCTGTCAATCGCGTTCGGGAGCTACACCTACGCAGGGGAGTATCGTGGATCCAGCTTGGCCCCTCCCCAGCGGCATCACCCTGCACACAATCCTCCTCGTATGCTACTGGATCCATCTTAAGTCTTCCGCCTTACTGTCCCCCAATCTCTACGGGCCGGCGATCTAAGATCCGCTTTTCTAATTTATCGGCACCTTCTGCAACGCAGACTCCCGGAGCAGGAGATACCGTACCGGGCATCGGATTTTGTAGTGCGAGATGCGGTTTTCTGGTATCGCGCCTTATAGGTGTGACTTACGGTGCGGTATCAGTTGTTTACAATATGGCAAAGTGCGGTATTATTCGAACCCTATTCGCTCTTTCTCTGTGTTTTTTTTCTTTCAAATTTGGTTTGGCTTGGTATGAGGTGAATCGTGCTTGGCGGGGTATGTGCAGTGGGTACTCGAGTACAGTTCTCAGGCATAGCTTGTTGAGTGCTGGGTTAGTTGCTTGGGCTAGCATGATACGGGGCGAGAGCAGGGGAGGGGGGGATATGGTATTCTGAGAGGGTACTGAGTGGGGGGTACTATATGCGCGGGATAGGTCTACTAGTTAGCAGGGAGCTGTTTTGAGCAGAGAGAGAGTTCTTGGGAGCAGGGTTTGACTTCCTCGGGGGCTTGATCAGTGCTGGTGTTGCAAAGATAGCGTGATGAGTTTTTAGGGTTAGGCTAGCGAGACGTTACCAAAATTGCTATATTTGCGTCGGCTGTGGACTCTCTTCAGCAAAATTTTATAGTACAAGCATTCCGTAAACCGAAAGGTATAATATTGGTACGATTGCCGTTTAGGAAGGCTGAGAGCTAAGTTGTATAATACTGCAGTGTTCAGCAAACACCTTTACCAATCCGTATACTATAACTATCAGATTAACCCCCCCGCCCATTACTCAGACAGCTTTAAACAAAAAGATCAAGGCAAAGCAAAACCCGGCCAACTCCGCTCGCGATCCGTAGCCCACAAGAAACAACTCAAGAGAATAATCACAGAAACCCTAATCAGCCCTCCGTCTTTTCGACCTCGTACTGCCCGTGCCATTCCCATTAACACCTGCATTATTCCCATTCGCCTTCGGGGGCACAGGGCTCTTCCTCTTCCTCTCTCCCGGCCCGAGAGGAGGCGGAGAATCACACTCGCTCTCGGTATCTTCGAGATCCAACACGACTGGCATATTCCACCCGTCTTCGACTTCACCTCTCGCCCGTTCGATGGTCACCGCGTCTACGATTTCGTTTTCTTGATGCAGTTTGCGCTTCGTGAGGTCCCATTTCAGGTGTATGTCGAACTCGTCTTCGCGCTCTTGGTATTCGATATTTTCTTCCAATTCGCGGAAGTCCGGGGCTAGAGCTGACCAGCGCTGGGGATTGGATGTTGCCCAGATGAAGATTTTGCCGCTCTCGAGACCGGTCGAGGCAATGAGGGGGCGGGTTGGGTGCCACTAGTATTAAGGTGAGACGGTGCGATCGCTTGGGTTGGGCTAGATGGGACGGAAAGTTACCTCTACTGTGCCTAGTTCTTCCTTTGGGCCTTCTAGGATTTTGGCGAGAACGCCAGTGCTTCTTTCCCAGATGTAGATGTCATGGTTTTTGAAGGTTGTCGCAGTTAGGTATTCACCGTTCCCGGAAAAGGTGCAGTGGTTCCATAGTAGCCTGTTGACGACATCTTGAAATTTATGCTCTACAATGAGTCGAATGTCGTTACCACCAACACCCTCTTTAAGGTTATCGGGGATATTGATGGATCTCAAGACCCGATCATTGGCATTTACAACCATGTTTCTACCGGACATTGTGAGCCTAATGTAAGTAATACAACCAGAGGTGATCCGGGTAGAGTGGATCATCTCCTTTGTAGTGGTGGAGATTACGTTCACCCATCCTTTGTTGGATCCGGTAATGATATGGTCACCAGTAGCGGTGAATACGGCTGCTGTAGTCATTTGTTTCGCATCAGCTGCAGCCCGCTTTTCGTCAATCTCCCCCTCTTCTGCACCTGGCTGTAACGGCCGTTTGGGCGCGCTTGTAAGTTGGTATTTTTTCGGCACGTCGCCGGATATATCTACAAGGTAAGGTGAATCTTCGAACAGGGCACAAACGAAAATATTCCTAGCGTAATTGTTAGAGTGAGAAGGAGTGATCGGGGATTCTCAAAAAGCCTCACGAGTTTTTTGGGTGAAGTTCGGCGCAGTAGACAGGAGCGGGAAAACGTATGGTTCGTGATGCCCCCTCTCCTTGTTTCGAAAGGTCCCAAATAATTACTTTGAAATCTTGTGAAGCGCTGGCGAGAAAAATGCCGTCCTGAGACCAACTGAGCGATTGAATTCCGCGAACGTGGCCACGGAGATAGCGGGCGAGGCCATTTGTCTCGACGTCAAAGAGGACCACTGTGCCATCCAGCTAAGCAGACGCGGGAGGTTTGGTTAGGTTGTTTAAGGCGAGGAGTTTGGGTGGTAGAGTCATACCCTTCCGGAGGCGATTAGATCTCCTTTTCGGTTGAACCGAACCTGTAGTACAAACGTGCATGCGTCAGAAACCCCTAGCTTCAGATTTTAAGGTGACTCAGGAGGAAGGCAAAGGAAGTAGCTAAGGGAGCTAGGGAGAGACAAACACATGTTGAATGGCCCGATCGGAGCTCCGATGAGAGGGACTCAGGGTAATCCTGAGCAAGAGTGAACGGGTCGAGTAATGAAAGATTCATGTCGAAGGTATGATTGCGGGCGTGGCCGCCCTGGAGAGGTGGTCGAGATGGATGACTATGGTATAAGGGATCTTAGAGTAAGGGGAAGGGGGGGGGTGAGGAGTGTTGATCGTGATGGTGATGCTCATGGGAGCTGGAGGAGGTGGAGGGTGGGACGGTATCTGCATAGATTTCGACCAGAAGAGCCTCAATCGGCCCTTATATTTCTTCTTCTCGTTTTGTATGCTAGGGAGTGGCAATGGCTGAGGCCAGTATCCGGATGAGACATGTAAGCGCCAAGCCCCTGGACTCAGCATTCTATTGCCTGCAGGCTGTTGCTACGGCATTTGCTCACTGTTGCTACGAGGACCTGCCACCAGTGCTGTGCAGCCGTCTTTGCTGGTTGCCTCCATCGACTCTCGCCTCGCCTGAATCCTTTCCTTCTCCCTTCCTTTTGACAGCCTCCCTCCTCTGCCAACCTCCGCTTCCCCATCATCCCACCACTACAGTAGCCCTCTGCGTTTCTGTCTGTGGCATATCTATCTCTTGCCGGTTGGTTTAGCAAAGCTTTCGGCTGTTTTCATTCTTTCCTTTGTCACGTCACATCGGACTCCTCTCTGGGTTGTTGGTGAAGGGCGTAACTTCCGACCGGCCGATCACTCCTTTGTCCCCATCGCCACAGAATCGCCTTCCCTTGAAGCTCCTGTGGATAGTTACGGGAGTCGCAGCAAAACTACGGCAGCAGCATCGTTACCGCACGACATTTTACGCTACAGGTGACGACGGTTGGGTGAGGAAGGAAAGGTTCGGAGGGGGAGGAGGATTTTGCAAAAGGACCGCGTGGCACACGCAGCCTTTAGGGCTTTAATTTTCTTTTCAATTGTTTCCCGTTTTGTTGGGAAAGGGTCGACAAACAGCAGCCGCTTTCTGCCTTTTTCTTCACTTCCTACCTTCGCAACACTCCCCCGTTTTCTGCTCCTGGTTCATCTATATCTACACTACCGCTTTTTTACGAACGTGATAATCCAATCATGGCGCTCATTTTCGAACATTCGAGCGCGCCTTTGCGCACCATCAAGGAGATCCAGTTTGGTTTGCTGTCGCCTGAAGAGATCAAGGGCATGAGTGTCTGCCATATCGAATACCCAGAGACAATGGTATGGCGGTTGTTCGCTGTGTTTTTTGCCGTTCAAGACATACTTACGTGATTGTTTCTGTTCCCCAGGACGAAGCAAAACTTCGGCCAAGGGAAAAAGGTCTGAATGATCCTCATCTAGGCTCCATCGATCGCTCGTTCAAATGTGCCACTGTGAGTTCTCTGCATTTGTGACTTGTTATTAAGAAGTTTGCCTAACAATTAATTACTTAGTGCGACGAAGGAATGTCGGTATGTCCAGGACATTTTGGGCATATCGAATTAGCGAAGCCAGTCTATCATGTTGGTGAGTCGCGCCTGGATTCGTGTTGAAGTGAGTATTGCTAACTGTATTTTTTTTTCTCTCGCAGGATTTATCAACAAGGTCAAGAAAGTGCTGGAGACTGTGTGTTTCAATTGCGCCAAAATAAAGCTTGATGAAGTGAGGCTCACTTTGGCGGATCGAGTGGCTTGATCATTTCTAGACTTTGTGGCTAATGAGTGATTTGCTCTGCTTGGTAGACCAACTCACAATTCGCGGACTGTTGTCGGGTCAGGGAACCCAAGGCTCGCTTTAACGCGATCTGGAGGCTCTGCAAGGCCAAAACGAGCTGCGATGCAGACACGGCGATAGATGGAGAGGGTGGCTTTGATGAAGCACCTTCTGATAAAAAGCCAAAGTCTCACGGTGGGTGTGGAAATAAGCAACCAACCATTCGCCGCGAAGGTCTGCGATTGATAGGTACATGGAAGCCGGATAAGGATTCAGGTGAAGAGAGTCAACAGCCTGAGAAGCGTCACATTACACCTGCCGAAGTCCTTAATATATTCAAACATATCTCCAACGAGGAGATCCGCAAGATGGGATTGAGCGAAGATTATGCGAGACCTGAGTGGATGATCATCACAGTTCTGCCAGTGCCTCCTCCACCTGTCCGACCTAGCATCTGCGTTGATGGGATGGGCGGCGGCATGCGTGGAGAGGACGATTTGACTTACAAACTTGCTGAGATAATTCGGGCGAATGCGAGTGTTCGCGATGCTGAGCAAAATGGGTCACCTGCTCATGTTGTGAATGAATTCGAGGCATTGTTGCAATTCCACGTTGCCACTTATATGGACAATGATATCGCTGGTCAGCCACAGGCTCTGCAGAAATCCGGCAGACCCGTTAAGTCGATTCGCGCCCGTCTAAAGGGAAAAGAGGGCCGCCTCCGTGGCAATTTGATGGGGAAGCGTGTTGATTTTTCAGCTCGTACTGTGATCACGGGGGACCCGAACTTATCGCTGGATGAAGTTGGTGTTCCAAGGAGTATTGCCCGGACGTTGACCTACCCGGAGATTGTCACTCCTTACAACATTCATAAGTTACACGAATTGGTGAAGAATGGGCCGAATGAACATCCGGGTGCGAAATACGTTATTCGGGATAACGGGGAGCGAATTGATTTGAGACATCATAAACGCGCGGGGGATATCACGCTGCAGTACGGTTGGAGGGTTGAGCGGCACATTGTCGATGGGGATTTTATTATCTTCAATCGTCAGCCGTCTCTGCACAAGGAGTCTATGATGGGTATGTTTTCTAATCGTGACCGACTAAAATACTTGCTTACCGTCTATACTTATAGGTCACCGCGTCCGTGTTATGCCTTACTCAACATTCCGACTCAACTTGTCGGTTACCTCCCCTTACAACGCCGATTTCGACGGCGATGAAATGAACCTTCATGTTCCGCAATCCGAAGAGACACGTGCCGAGGTTAGCCAACTCTGTATGGTGCCTTTGAATGTCGTGTCGCCTCAGAAGAATGGACCTCTCATGGGTATTGTTCAAGACACCCTTTGCGGTATCTACAAAATGTGCCGAAGAGATGTATTTCTCAATCGCGAACAACTTATGAATGTTCTCATGTGGGTTCCCAATTGGGATGGAACAGTGCCTACGCCTGCAATCCTGAAACCTCGACCTCGTTGGACCGGGAAGCAAATGATTAGTTTAGTTATTCCTCCTGGAATAAATAAAGTTGATCTTGCAGGGGGGAAGTGGTCTCCGTTGAATGACGAGGGCTTGCTTGTCCATGGCGGTGAGCTGATGTTTGGGCTTCTTAATAAAAAGGCTGTCGGACAGTCTCATTTGAGTTTGATTCACATCATATACAACGAGAAGGGCTCCTATCGATGCTTAGAATTCTTCAACGGTTGTCAGACAGTTGTCAATTACTGGCTGCTCCATAACGGCTTTAGTATTGGTATCGGAGATACCATTCCGGATAAGTTAACTATCGAAAAGATTGCCGCGACTGTCAAGGAGAAAAAGGACGAGGTCAATGCAGTTACAGACAAGGCCCAGCGTAACGAGCTTGAACCCCTGCCGGGAATGAATATCCGTGATACGTTCGAGAACCTGGTTCAGAAATCGCTTAACTCTGCCCGTGATAAGGCGGGTTCCGACACTGAGAAGAGTTTGAAGGACAGCAACAACGCAATTCAAATGGCTCGATCTGGCTCCAAGGGTTCGAACATCAATATCTCTCAGATGACAGCGGTCGTGGGCCAGCAATCGGTTGAGGGAAAGCGTATTCCCTTCGGGTTCAAATACCGCACTTTGCCCCATTTCACGAAGGATGATTACAGTCCTGAATCTCGCGGATTTGTCGAAAATTCATATCTTCGTGGCCTTACCCCTCAAGAATTCTTTTTCCATGCTATGGCTGGTAGAGAGGGTTTGATTGATACGGCTGTCAAGACTGCCGAGACCGGTTACATTCAGAGACGGTTGGTTAAAGCGTTGGAAGATGTCATGGCGAAATACGACGGTACTGTGAGGAATTCTCTTGGGGATATTATCCAGTTCATTTATGGTGAAGACGGTCTTGACGGAATGTTCATCGAACCACAAACCGTCGACATTATCGCATGTTCGGATGCGGAGTTTGAGGACAAAGTTAGGGTTGATGTTATGGATCCGGCGAGGTCGATCCCACTCGAGTTTCTTGAGGTTGCACAGGACATCGCTGGTGATGTAGAGGTACAGGCTGCTTTGGACGAAGAATTTGAGCAGCTCCAGAAGGATCGGGCATTCTTGAGGTCACTTCAGAAAGACAGCGTCGACGAAAAGTTGCAGCTACCCATCAATATCCTTCGCATCTTGGAGAATGCCCGCACTATTTTCCGTATCAAGCATCGCGCCCGGAGTAATCTCCATCCTCTCGAAGTTACTGAAAAGGTCAAAGAGCTTGTGAAGAAGCTCGTTGTTGTTCGTGGCAATGATCCTCATTCTATCGAGGCTCAACAAAATGCCACCGGGCTTTTCATGTGCCACCTTCGATCCCGTCTTGCGTTCAGGAGGCTGGTCATTGAGTGTAATCTCTCTAAAGTTGCGTTTGATTGGGTCCTTGGGGAAATTGAGTCTCGGTTCGCTCGAGCTGCAGTCCAACCTGGCGAAATGGTTGGGGTCCTCGCCGCGCAATCTATTGGTGAACCAGCTACCCAGATGACTTTGAATACTTTCCATTTCGCTGGTGTGTCGTCTAAGAATGTTACTCTCGGTGTTCCTCGGTTAAAGGAGATTCTCAACGTTGCCAAGAACATCAAGACTCCCTCTATGATGGTTTACCAGGTTCCGGAAAATACACACGAGAAGGAGACTGCAAAAGCACTTCGCTCAGCGGTCGAGCATACAACCCTACGATCGGTCACCGAGACCACTGAGATTTGGTACGACCCTGATCCGAGGGATACTGTCATCGAAGAAGATAAGGAGACTGTTTTGTCGCACTTTCTGATCGACACAGACTCCGAGGATATCGACAGGCAGTCCAAATGGCTTCTTCGGATCATCTTTGATAGAAAGAAGTTGCTCGATAAGGATTTGACGGTTGAGAGGGTAGGAATTAAGCTGATGGAGGAGTATGGTAATGACATGGCCATTATCATGAGTGATGATAACGCAGAAATTCCTAATATTCGGTGTCGGATGAAGAATGCGGATCAGGCCAAATCTTTGGATGAGGAGAGTGATCTTGAAGAAGACACCATGCTCAAGCGTCTCGAGAATCACATCCTTGACGAGTTAACCCTCAATGGCGTTAAGGGCATTCAGAGAGCGTTTTTGAACGATAAGGAGCGGACAAGGATTGACGAGACTGGCAAGTTTGTAATGAGCAAGGAAGATCCTAAGTGCAAAGAGTGGGTTTTGGATACCACTGGTACGGCTTTGAAACAAGTACTCGAAGTTGAGGGGGTTGATACCACTAGAACATACTCCAACACGTTCGAGGAAATCTTGCAAGTTTTCGGAATCGAGGCCACCAGGGGTGCTCTTCTGCGGGAATTAAGGCAGGTGTTGGCCTTCGACGGTTCTTATGTTAACGAACGACACCTTGCGCTTCTTTGCGATGTCATGACTTCGCGTGGGCACTTGATGGCTATCACTCGTCATGGAATTAATCGTGCGGACACTGGTGCGCTCATGAGATGTTCTTTCGAGGAGACTGTGGAAATATTGTTGGAAGCAGCAGCCTCGGGAGAATTGGATGATTGTAGGGGAATTTCCGAGAATGTTATGCTGGGACAATTGGCACCTTTGGGAACGGGGGAATTTGATGTCTTCTTGGACGAAAAGATGTTGGCCGAGGTGATTGTTGACAATTCACGCATTACCGGTGGAGAAATACCAGGTATGGGTAAGGGTGTTCTCGCGGATGGCGCTGCAACTCCTTACGACAGTTCCTCGCCAATGTATGGCGATCCTTACGTGGGATCACCGGATGCTGGTGCTGCGTTCTCGCCTATGCAACATACTGGCTCGGAGACACCTGGTGGATTGACCGATTACCAGGCCCCTGGGTTTGGGCCGGGCTACGGTGCGGGCGCCAGGAGTCCTCTTACGTATTCACCAACAAGCCCTTTTGGTACAAGCCCAACCTCTCCAGGCTACTCCCCCGCTTCGCCTGCGTATTCGCCTACATCGCCCAACATGGCTATTACGAGCCCAGGGTTCAGTGCAGCGTCTCCCAGGTTTTCGCCTGCCAGTCCCGCATACAGCCCGACATCCCCTGGGTACTCACCGACATCTCCGGCTTATGGTGGTGGTCTTGGTGCTGGTGGATCCCCGACCTCTCCTAACTATTCGCCAACAAGCCCTAGCTTCAGTCCAACAAGCCCAACATACAGTCCAACCAGTCCGAATTACTCCCCCACCAGCCCTGCATACTCCCCGACCAGTCCGGATTACTCCCCTACAAGTCCCGCTTTTAGCGGCGGTGTTGGTACCAGTCATTCTCCAACTTCGCCGACTAGTCCCAACTACAGTCCGACTAGTCCCGTCTATTCTCCTGGCAGCCCTGCTGCTAGCTATAGCCCGACGAGTCCAACCTTCCAAAGCCCCACTCAAGGGAGTCCAAGATGGTCGCCGACGAGCCCCGGGCCAAGCTATTCACCAACGTAAGTTCAAATCCCTAGTCCTTTGCTCTCTCAAACTAGAACTAATAATGAATACCAGATCTCCTAGAGACCCCCCAAGGAATTCTTAATAAGGGGGGCTAGATTTCTGATTCCGAAAATAATTTTTACATGAAATCGCTTTTTTTGTCTTCAAGTTTTTCTTTTCTGCTTTAGCTTTCTTTGTTTTTGCATGGGGTAAAATGGGTTCTATTACTTTTTCCTTTACCTTTCTTTTTCGTGACTGATTGACGCTTTACTCTTCTCGGAGGTCTGGACATTTGTTCTAGGAGTCGTGTTTCTGTAGGTAGGGGCTTCTAGCTAGGGGTTGTCGTGACAAGGTCAAGGATTGATGATGAGAGAGAGAGAGCTATGCCTGTCGGCTGTATTAGTACATATCAATAAAGCGCGGAAGTTAATTTGATGGAGCTTTGAGGATCTGCACATTTACTGAATTAATGGTGAGATTATATAAATTTACTTTCTTGGATAGATGTATGATAGGCGGATTACAACTAGCTCGCTGCTGTGGATGTGCGATTGCCCTTTGCTGTGCCATGGGATCAATCCTTAAATTTATCTCTTGTATACAAAAAAAATCATGTATCAACCCCGGCTTAGCTTGGGATGCGCTAAGGTATTACGAATGCTCTCAGCACTAGCCTCGAAAGTATGTGGACTCAGTCTATGGGAGCTTTCCGTAGGTTGTAATTCTTTTTTCACTATCCTAGTTCATAGATCCCCCCCCCCCCCCCCATCTGCTTTGAACTCTTTCAGGTCCAGCAATTGCGGGTTGTTCGGGTGTTGAACGGGGTAATATTTTGTCCGTGCAGCGCTCGTATGAGTGTTGGCACAGCGGAGTCCGGTTCGCTAGCAGACATCGTTATCATACTCGTTGGTTCCGTATGACCTCGGGTGGTAGAACGTGTTGATGGGAGGAATCTCGGAGCTCCGGTGGCGGCCATTTCTGTGTCTAGATTTCTCCGAACATAGTTTCGAATGGTTACTTTGGGGTTTGATGGAGCTGTGCCCGTGATGGTGAAATACATATCATGCCACTCGGAGGCATGGACCAGCCAGCCTCTTAATCCTGGGTATGATAGCTCTTGATGTCCGGATATCATACCTGGGAAGGAAGAGAGGGAGGGAGAAAGGACACGAACTAGGGGCTTGAGAGGAAAGGAGGGGTATAAGGTTAGAATAAGAATTAAGCAAGGTTCGATTGAGGCTAGGTTCTCCCTCGCCATATCCCTCAGTATCAATCCCTAAGCACCCCACCGTTGGGACAACCTCACGTATCCCGTGCGTACCGAAGTAAATCTACTGAATATATCAACCCAGCATAAAACCGCCTGCGTGAATGAGATCCGGTCACTCGCTCATATCTTCTTGGCTGGGCAAAGTTCCGGAACGCTCTGTTGGACAGTTTGTTGTCATGGGGCAACAAAATTGTATGCGCTCATATTTGGACTCACCTGAAGAGCAAGATAGGGTACCACCTTGACACGACGGTATACCCCAGCGCTGGCTGATTGGCTGGCTCGCCCTTGAGAGGTAGTGTAGGAGTGTTGGATGTAAACCGAGTTTCGGGGCTATTACTATTAATAGTGAAACTTATCGGATCACCGAGGGGATGTCTGCAAGTTTAGAGGAAGGTGCCATGGGTTACTAGATTTTTGCGTAAACTCGGTGCAGGTGAAACATGGAGCTGAAAAAAAAGAAGGCTCAGGATTGTAATGTGGGTTTGGTAGTTATAGTGGACTTAATTTTTATTAGACAACACGCATGGACTCGCGGGTTTGTGTTCATATGGTCTCACTCGGCGGGAGTACTTGGAGACCCCGGGTGGGGGGAAATGTCCTCGAGGGGCATTAGACGAGTGTCTGCCTGCTCGACACACAGGGAGCGTACCCTCCCGAAGGATTTACGGCTGGCCGAACGTGGCCCTTTGCTTCTCTCTATACAGCCTCTTGGAGTCTAGCTGGATGTCAGCAGAAAGGGGATGTATCGGATCGGAAAAAAAGGATCCAATCAGCGCTGCTGTGCCGCAATCCAACCATTGTGCGCTAGTATTTAGTTTTCTCTCTCCCCTAGAACGGGGTTCACATATAACCTGTGAACGTTGACCTTATTCTACCAAGGAAATATCGGTACAGTAGAACGGACAATAAAGGATGAAACCAACAACCTTCAGAACGGTTCGATACCCTACTCACTGCATCCGACCCCCCAGGAACGGATTTTAGGGCAGCGGTGTTTGGGCGCAGCAAGGCTTGTACCATTATGAAGTATATTGAAACCACCAAAGAGGGTGGTTTTATGGTGACCCCCCCCCAAAGCTTTCCAGTAGTTGCAGTGATGGTGTATACCGCTTATCGCTCAGCTTGAGAATAGGGTTCCAGTTCTTCCTTTTGGGAGCAATAGATTGGAGAATGTATGATTTGAATTGATTGTTGGTATTGTGGGGTTCTTTCCTCCATGGGTATGATAAGTGAATCCCGTGGGCTTGTTTTCGGGACACTACTTGCAGCGAGGACGGTACCCAGTGTTATTCACTCCTCTGGACGGAAAGGGGTAGATCGGTTTTGTTATATCATACTTAGGATATCGTTGAAGCTAATTTCGGGGAATTTTGGTTGGCTTGAAGCTTTACCAGATGACTCTATCAAGGTATCTAGAAGCTCATTCGGGAGGGAGTGGAGAAGAGGAGGTCTCTTCCTTTCTTTCTATTTTCATTTTCTTTCACGGAAAAAATGTGGTGCTTGGTGAAAAAGATCCGTGGTGAAGCTGGTGGTTGACGGTGACAATGAACAGTGCAGTGCGGTGCTTGCTTTGTTAGGAGGCTAGTGTTCGGATAATGACGGTCCGCTACCATATCGTAAATTATAGTACGGTACCGAATAGCAACCCGCGGTAAACATACCGTTCGAACCTTACGCGAGGCCGAGTGATACAGAATGATTAGACACGATTGACTAGTTCTCGGCGCCCATTACCTCCCCCATTGAGAAAGGGAATCCGAGCAGTTGCGAGTATAGTACGGTATCACAAGTCATCGGTGCGTGCATTGTGGGGTGATTTTCGCCGCCGAAACAAACTTGAACCTGCTGCCGGATGGGGTGGTTTACCAAGGTATGCATGTAATCGGGGCACGCTAACATTGCAATCAAACATATTATAAAACCGGGCAAGACAAGTGAATGCTTGCTATATGATACCCATAATATCATACCACAGATCGACTATCTTTGCATCTACCAGTATCGTTGCTTGACCCATTTGCACCTTATCTCTGGATCACCCGAGGAAAAACCAGGCTTTCCTGCTAACCTAGCCGGGCACTGTAATGTGTCCTATCATACCATAATAAATTACTCTAGCGCGAGTCACTCAAGAACTCACATGCCCTGAGTGATCCCTACCTGTTCAGTCTAAAAGAGCGAGTGTTTATATGGGCATCCTCACCAGTAGGTGTGAGCAGTGCCCTACCCCCTCCTACCGGAGTGTTTGAGCCAAACGAATGGAATTCGCAATTTATCGCTCTCACGCAATTTAGACACCTGGCTCGACGCCACCCTCTCTCTCACCCACTCGACAGATCCTGACAAGCAGTGTATTTCACCGGCAGGTCTTTGGACGCGGGAACACATGTCCGTGGTCTCCTAGTACTTGTCTGGAATGTATTGCGCTTGTTGGATTGTGAAATAATTGATATGACTAATGTGAGGGGGTAGTGGAATGTGTAGCTGGAATGCCGAATGACAGTAAGCACTCGAGAATGAGGGCTGGTATAGAGACAGGGATGGATGAAATCCTGGTGGCTACGCTGGACTTGGAAGTTTGTTTATATAGCCTATCATGGTTGATGTTTGGATAGGAGGATAAGGCGAGCGTAATAGGACTGGAAAATAAAATTCTATTTAAGGTTGAATTTTGATTTCAGTTCCTTCCTGGCATCTAGCGAGTGATCGGCCGTGACGATAGCTCTCTCAATAATACCAAATAATATTATACAGTAGCTATTATACGGTGTCGCCACCAGAGGCGATCACCCAAATTGACGCATGTGTCTCGGATTCCAAGCACGGGTTATCCAGCTCCTGCATAAGTTCAGCTCCGCAGTATACCGCATTCCATCATAATTTAACAATCGGTACCTTACTCATCTGCTACAAACTCGCATGGTACTCTGACAAAGGCTTAGATACGAGGAAAGGGAGGGGGGGGGGGGGAAACCCCCACCCCCGGGGTGACGGTACCTTTAATAATTGATACCGTTTACTCCTCTTATACGCCCGGTGGTCACCGATCCGGTTTGATCCTGCCGCTTTCATAAGATACGAGAGCATCGCCTATGCCGGTATCATGCTGTGGACTCTGTAAGAGCTGGGGATCTTTCGGGTACCGTCCAAGGGGGTTGGTGGCCGGGTATGTCGGGTGCCAAAAATTCCCCTATTAAACTTGAGGGGTACAGACTTTCTGGTGCGGTACCTAGACAACTATGTAGCCTAATCAAATTTCAGCAGGTAATGATCACCGGGAAACCTTAGCATTCAGGGTAAATCCCACTCCCCTAATCCTCTTATTTCTAATGAAAAGGGTTATCAACAATAGTAAATTTGAATGGCTACACAACCAGATCGCACTTTTTAGTTGGCAGTAAAGCGCAAAGTCCACCTCGGGATCTCGAGGGTGGGCATTCGCTCGCGGTGAGTTTTTCGCTTGTTCGGGTGTTTTACAAGGACTGCCCTTTCTTCCTTATCTGGCGTTTCACCAGCCTTTCCAGTGTTGGGCGTTTTTTGCGGGGGGTGGCAGTCTGCTCCCAGCAAGCAGGGAACAAAGCATAATGAGAGGATGTAGTCATAGGGGGGCGGCCTTTTCAAATAATCCAGATAACACAGCTTTTTGTTTTATTTTGGAGGACAGAACTTAATCGGCAGAAACATCACAAGCAACCTATAGCCATCTCCCACAGGTTCCTACACCCTGATATCCATATTATGCCCCTAACTAAAAAAATCTTGACTATAGAAAATAGTATAAAGTATGCAAAAGCACAGCGTGGCTACGAGCTGGTGAACTCATCGAAGAAACGGGGGATTCCAACCAACAGCCCGCCACAAATAGTTAATCCATTGTAATTAGGAAGACATTTAAGTATTCGCCAAACAAATGTAGGACATAATGCTTGCCGGTCGTCACACTGGCATTTGGGCACAAGGAGGCCGTGCCCCGGCAGGGTGGGGAGTGCGGGTCCGGTGTGTCCGGGATGCAAAACTACACCGGGGTTACTAACAATCTGTAATGTAGGCGAGGATAGTAAGCCAGAGCGACTTACGGGCTATAGGAATGGTTAACAGATATCCGCAAAATCTGGGTTAGTAATAGTCAAACAATATTACTCACTTTCTATCTTAGCCAAATAATTGTAAGGCCCATAGTGCATTAGCGGGAGGAGCAGGGAGAGGGAAGACAATATTTACAAACGAGCTGCAATGCAATACCAAGTAAGTATCAGTGATAACTTGCGGAAGAGGGGCTTGAGGTCTGTATACAAACTAAGACGGGCAAGCAATAATGGATCAGCGTTCCGAAGAGGTACGACATGGAGATTTACATTGATTACCTCCTGTTGAGGAAAGCAAGTGTGAAGTTAGTCTGGAACCATCAGCTTTGGGGGAGATCTTAATAGTTGTCACATACAACCTGTGGTAATGGGATGGATATCAGTAAAGTTGAAACACTGAAAATGTTCAGGTCCGCTTACCTCCTGAAGGAAATGAGAAGCTGGATATCAGCAATTGCCTTGTCCCAGAGCAACAATAAACGGGCCAGAGGTCAGCAATCGCTTCAACCCAGAACGGTGGTGGTTCAGGTCCACTTACCTACTAAGTTACAACACTCAGTGGGCCAAGGGTCAGCAATCCCCGAATCCCAGAACTGTCCCTGGTCACCTACTGACTTGGTACAACACCCAGCCGGCCAGAGGTCAGCAATTGTCTCGTCTCGGAACGGCGGTTGATTCTGGTGGCTTACCCGCTTCAACATTCAGCGAGCCAAAGGTCAGCATGTTTCTCGTCCTAGAACTCTAGTTCGCTTCACTCGCTTACACACTACAGCACGCAGAGTTCAGAAATTACCCCTCCCGGGAACCGTGATTTGTCATGTTCACTTATCCACTACAACACTCAGCGAGCCAGATTTCAGTAATTGTCTCATCCCGAAACTGCGGTCGATCATGTTCACTTACCTCCTACAACACTCAGCCAACCAGAGGTTAGCAACCGTCTCATCCCAGGGCAGTGGTTGATCCTTCTCACTTTCCCACTATAATTCTCGAGTGGCCAGGGGTCAGCAATCACCTCTTCCTAGACCTGTGGTTGATCCTGTTCACTTACCTCCTACAACACTCAGCAAACCGGAGGTCAGCGAACGTCCTGCCCCAGAATCGTGGTTGTTCCCGCTCACTTACCCACTACACCACTCAGCGGGCTAGATGTCAGCAACCGTATCTTCCCAGAACTGTTGACCTGGTTCACTTACCTGCTATAACACCCAGCCAGCCAGAGGCCAAACAATTGCCTCGTTCCAGAACCGTAAGTCAGAGGTCATCAGTAACCTCGCCCCGGGCCAGTTGGCCCCGCTCTCTTACCTCCTACATGACTCGGTAATCCTGAGGCCAGCAATGGCCTTATCCTAGAATACTAGCTGATCCTATTAACCTACCAACTACGGAATTCAGCGAACTAGAGGTCAGCAGTCACCTTGCCCCAGAACCGTGGCTGATCCTGTTCACCCACCTCCTACAACACCCAGCAAGCCAGTGGTCAGAAATTTCCTCGTATCTTGAATTCTCTTGGCCTACTTACGTACAAACTGCAGTACCCCGTAGCCGGGCAGTTAGCTGTCGCCTTCGCCATGCGGACCATTTGCCGAGTCTCCTACCTCCTGTATCCCCCCGAAAATCAGACAACCTTAGCCTCGTATCTACTGATATTCAAAATGCCGACCCACGCTCTGCTCCCATAGGTCAATCCAGAGGTAGTCATAAGGGTTGCTGAACATCCCTTATGTAGTTCACTACTCTCTAGAGTTTCCAAGCTTCTGAGGTCACTAAAACGGCAATGCGAAGGAAACATGATCCGGGGCTTCAACTTGCCTTCTGTAATGCAAAAAAAGTTCCGAATCAGCTCTGGCTCCCTCTCTGATGACTGCGAATTCATATACCATCTCTAGATAAACGCCAATCCATTGTCAGTAATGTACCAGTCACTCCAAACCAAGAGGCCCCTTCACATGCAAGATGTTATACTCCTTGATACCCATATAGGCTTTGACATTCCTCTGCTGCAGCATTATAGTTATCCCCTTGTCTTTCCAGTTAGCTGCAATGTTCAATGCGGTGCCATATAGTTCCGATCGTGCATTGATATTTCCCCAGATAATCACCAACCACCTCCCCTCAGTGCTGCTGGAAGCACCTATTGCTAATGGGTCATTTTCAAACTCCTCTAGCGAAAGATAGGAGACACAAATTTCAGCCATTATAAAGTTAAAATCTTTGAGACACAGTGTATGATGCCAGTTCCCCTGGCCAGGCGAGGATTCTTTAATCAGGAATTCCCTTGCGGTTTGGTGAACGAGGTAGATCTTGGAATAGACAACCCGCATGAAAAACCCACGCGAATTTTTCACTGCCTTGCCGAACCCACGAGAAAGAGATCCAAGGTCTTGAGTTGAATTGTGCCCCCGCCTAGTTCTGAATGCGACGTTTATTTCTCGAAGTGTGAAAGGTCTCCTAGCTGCTACTACTATATTCAGGATTCGTCGGGCTTTGTCGGGGCATGTGCTTTTATCGAGAATCATGGTGTATAATCCCGATAGATCGTGCGGTGCAGTGGAGACAATTTTTGCAAACTCCGCTGGCGAGCCATCCTCACTATCTTTCAGAATCCCGAGAGCAAGAGAAACCCAAAGGAATGTCCGATCAGCAGAAGATTCCAGGAGATTTCGCAAATATCTCAGTCCTCAGACTGCTCCCAGTATGACTCTAGGTTTTTAATGTCCTCATCGATGACACAGGTAACGTCAGCAGCAATAGTGTCGACCTCATCCTCCCCTTTCAGTCGGATCGTCTTTGAGGGCAAGCAAAGTTCTCTCCCGATCTTGTGGTAGGGGTGGCTCGTAACCAGGAATTTCAAAGGTATATCAGAAGTTTGTGGACCAGGGAGGTTGATTACATGATGGATAAGCGAAACCAGAGTCTCTTCTTCGCACTCGCCCAGGGCATCTACCACACAAACTACCTCGCCGCATCCCCCCTCAGCCACTGCTTTAACCAAAATATCCCACAATGTATCCACATCCTCCATGGACCTCCTGCCCTTAGATTTAAATGCTTCCTCAGCATATCTGCAGAGGATGTTTCTATGCCCAAGAAGCTGATGTAGTATGGCACAAAGAGCAAATGTTACGCTCTCTGTTCCTCATTGTTGTCCTTGGAAAAGAAACAGCAAACTATTGCGTTCGTCTAGATCTTTAGATGTGTTATTAGGAACGGAGCAATGACGGATTTCCCGCAACCCGGGTCTGCCGATAGCCAGAGGAGACCCGATGCTTTTTCCTCCCACCAGTCCTTATACGAGTACTTTGGATGTTCAGTAACCCAGGTGCACGTTCCCTCAACAGGCTCACGAACCCGACCCGGCGTGACTCGTATACAGACGTGTATAGGTATTGTAAAATTTCGGCATGGCTCTGGGACGAGTTCGTGTCCTCGTGGTTGCAATTGATGGTAGTGTTACCGCAGTTGACATTATTAGAACAGGAGTTGCCGCTATAGCCACCCCGAGTATAACTATCGGCTGCGGCGCTGGGACCACAGCTGCCGACTCTAATGATTAGAAACGCCAATTTACCATACAAGAGAAATTCCGGTAGCATACCGTTGCGGTGAGGAACGGTCCTCAGAAGGAGTGTTTGACAGCACATTGCCCATCTTATCGATTAATTTGTAAATTGGGGAAAGTCGCGTCTTGTCGGCTAGGGAATTGGGAGTGTTCTCCGATACTTTCCAGGATAATTCCCGTCCAAGTGAGAAAGAGCAGAAGAAGCAGAAGGGCGGAGGGGCTGGGGGCCACCCTCCCCTCGAGAGAGTAAGGTGATCAGCGTGGAACTGGGCAGTAGGTAACACAGCTAACCACGCACAACTCACCCACCCACACCATATCGGCAGCTGCTACCGGTAGCTTTTCACTTGATTTTTTCACACTGTATATCTTTCAATCCCACTGGACATATTCACCTATCGGTGCCTTGTCACGCCTAGACATCAATGCAAGAGATAATTTCCAAATATACGAGCAGCTAAATCCAGGGGAATTAGAACAAATAAAGTATTGAAGGCTGCAGTCGCTTTCCCACCGCGAAATTTGGTATTACTTGGTGTTACCTGACAAGTCCTCTCCCGTGTACATCTTGGGCCTGTTCGGGTACGTCAAGTCAAGGCAAAAAAATCATGGGCTTAGCAATTATTGCTTATTTCTAGTTGTGCCAAATTAAAGGGTAAGTTTGCGGTGAATTCCTCTATCTATCTCGGGAGTGACGAGGTTGATCGTGGGGTTGGGGTGAGTGAGGTCTCTAAATCCCACATCCAGAGACAAAACCCCAAACCACAGGCTATGGCTCTTTTTTTCTCCTGCTCCAAATTTCCCTATAATTACGGATTGCCATAGAGAACACCTATTCGATCCTCAGAACCAGATGATTCGTCAAAACCACCTCTTTCCGCCCCCAAACCTTGGGTTTACCCGCCCACCGAACAGGCCCCTTCACCGGAAAGTCCTCGCTCGGGACCTCGAGCGGCAGCGTTTGCTCCCGTCGGTGATTGTACTGTTTTTCTCATCCAGCCGTCCTGCACGCAAACTCTCCTTCCTCCCTTGCTCAGTTCCCGCCCGGCCTTCCAGCAGTCTTCATGTTCCCGGTGCTACCGTGGGGGCCCTCTCCCGGAAAGCAAGAAAGACAGCGTAAAATGTTGGGCTCTGGGTATAAGGCAGCGACCTTATCAGAAGGCCCAAGCATACATTTGATTCCTTCGAGGACAGTTCCCGAGCACGACACGGTATAATAGGATTATAATAGATTTTCGTCCCCTCGTTTTTACCTCCCCCAAATCCCCTGGGGGTGTGGGGTGTGGAGTAGGCGCCCAGACGAGACGGACCAGATATGACACGATTTCTTGGGCTCCACAGCACGGATGTAGTGCCATAGTCGGGCACAGATAGGGACGAGCGGGGGCTCCTTGAGATCCTAATGGAGTTGGAAGGTATTTACCCCATTCGTACCTAGCCCGCCCCCGCAGCCTAATTACACCCATGCCCACGGGTCCCGACCGTGCGGCCGTCCAATACCGTATGCCTACACCTTACACTATCAAGGACAACAATGATCCCCCTGCCAACGCTTACATCATGCCGGGCAAAGCCGCCCATGCAAGTAAATACTGCAAGACCCACGGCAAGCTGGATCAAAGGGCTTGCAAGATATTGTAGAACTGACCGACAAGTAGTTAATGTGCCGTCCACCGAGTACTCGGAATAATATATACGAATAGTATCTAAATTCTCACCGAGTGATTACTCGTGCGCAACCCCCGGCGCCGCGAGTCTAGTGCGGCTCAGCGGGTAAGGCGCCACCCCGGGTTGATATCACCTCACACATTCAATGACGATCAGACTATGGATCCTCATTCTCTCCCATTATATCTTACTCGAGTACTCCAGCCCTTCCCATCTACTTCTCCCTCGTATTTCCCCCCCTAATCCAATAAGGAAATTCTAAACGTCCTAGCGCTATTCTCAATTAATTCAGTCTTTACGGGTACGAGATGATGCCATAGTAATATTATACTGAGATAATCACAACAATGCATTTCTGAGCCTGCTACTCGAGTACTGTACGAGTATCATACATAAGTTGATCCATTCTTCCAATAGTGGTAGCAATCAGGGTTAGGGCCTGTACCGAACTCGGGAAAGCCGGGTAACCACATCAATTCTTTATTTCCATTTCCACCAAGCTTCTAGCACACCCACCCCACCGCCCATCTCTACCATGCCGATAAAAGTCACGAGAGAAGACTTCCTCTGGACCAATGGACGTGGCCACAACCAAAAACCTATCCTCTACTCTCAAAAATTGAACAATTACGGCATCGGTTCGCCTCACCTCCCCGCTTCCCCCATTGCAGCGCTTGAAGTTTCCGGGATGCTGATTTGGTGGTATGAGCAGGCAAAAAGCAGCACAGCTCTGACCAATGGTGGGAGAAAGCCTTCGATAACCAGCTCAAGAACCTCGATGTGGCGAGCGCAGGTGGTGTGGTGACAGTTACCCAAATCGCCAAGAACGTAACCCCCATAGGATTGGAAAGGATTGCGAGGTTTTATATCCGTTTTGTGAGGGGGGGCGTGCTTCACGGTGGCAAGGAGATTGCCGGGGCCGAGCGGGATGACGGGGAAGTTGCGACTGAGAGCGGGGCTGAGCGGAAGAGCAGGGGGGAGAAGAGGGAGAAGAAGGATAAGGATAGACGGAAAGGAAGGGGAAGTAAAGATGGAAAGAGAAAAAACAAGGAGGGCGACGAAAAACGGAAAGAGCGGAGATTGCTCAGGAGGATGGTAAAGAAGGAAATGGCGGCATTGAAAGGGAGGGAATAATGAGTTGTTAGAGGGGACGATGGTCGCTGGATAGCGAGTTCTCATGGCTTGTGCGGTGGTTCCTCCGGACATTATCGGCGTTTCGGGAGTCTGCAACCAATAGACTAGCTGGGGTCGGGTTTTGCACAATTCCTCTACAAAAGGTATAGAAAAAGCGTCCATTTCTCTAGAAAGGGCTACTATTAGGCCCCTTCTATTTCTGTTACTTGTATCAATAGAACTATCTTATACATAAAGTGTGAGTGCCATCAGACACCATCGGTGAGCGCCCATTCGTACGAGGGCGGACGAGTAGCATAGTGGCATCGGTGGCTTCCATGAGGAGCAAGTTCATGATCCCCTCCTCCAACCCCAGAGAGGGTAAAAATTAAGAAACGAGGGATGTATAGAATAGATCCATCGAGAAGCTCCTCCTCCAGGACATTAGGTTCATTCCCCGAGAATTCCCACAAAACGTACCATTGCCACCCACCCCACCAAAAGAAAAAAAACATCACAACCACACTCGAGCTCTCAAGTCGCCGGACCGATTAGCCCTTTTCGTAGTGTGCTACCGCCAAAAAAAATTAAAAAATTAAAAAAACGCAGCGCGAATCCGGCGACTGATCCCAGTGGGAGATTTCCAGTTCCTCATTGGTCAGATCACCCCTGAATCCCCACTTAATAGAACACCCTACTCGTACAGTACTCGTACTGTACGGTACCCGAAACCGGTCCACAGGGTAAAATTCCTATATTCTATATCCCATTTCGCCACCACGCCCCAAACCTTCAGTCAATTTGACGTGATATGACCCCCAAGTGCCTATCACACTACTGCTGTAGATCGCGCAAGAGCGGTTTTAGATTGACAAGCGCGACTACTCCTAATCCGTTATGTGATCAACTTTACGAGTGGCGTGTTGACCACATAGCGCCCCGCGGTTGTCTCAGCTCCCCCGAGTTCCTACCGTACTCGTACTAGATAATAAAACTGTTACTCATAGCGGTATCAAACCTGTACAACAAAGCTCAGTTGGGTTTAAAATTGGCGAATATAACAGGTCCCTTCCTCCCTTTGGCAATTGGTTGAGCGCGGTGGACAATGGAGGTTGTTGTCATTTGGAGCGATAAGGTTTACAGTACAATTCCTGCTATTACTGATCTACATTGGATACGGCGGTATCATGCTCGAGTATAGTACTATACTGTACATGTATGAGTGTTGTGAATCCGGTGATAGTTAGACTACTACGATACGGTACCGCATCACGGAACGTCGCACGAGTATTTGTGGCAATGGTAAAGTTTAAGTTAACATAAAGTATCATATCATATCATAATATTATCATACCGGCAGTGTGGTCCTCTGGGAGGGGTAGGTAAGCCCTTGGCTAGTCGAGATTTTCCGGGATCTATGATCTGATATGATGCATGGATAGAAAATGAGGCTCTGCAAAACTTTGTCCCTCATCCTCACACCGGCACCGTCGAGGATCGATATAAACTTTAGATTATCGTATTAGGCTCTCATCGTTACGGCACAGCAAAACCCCTTACCGTCGATCATCCCACATATTCATTCGCAACGGTCATCCGAATTCCCCTCCTCTCGGCTCCCGGATTCCCTGGTAGATGCGTCGCTCGGTGTTGCTAACGGCATGGAGGCTCTCCATCGTCCAACCCGGTCCACACCGGATGTCCTCATTCAGATCAATTGCTCACGTGCCGCGGTCGCAATCGCGCCATCCGCTTCCCCCGGGCTCCCCGAAGCCTGAACCTACCAGCGGCTCCCCGCCCGATCACCGTCTCTTAGCCGCTGCTCAAGACCTCCTCATAACCCACCCAGTATCCCCCGGCTCGCCGCTATTTCTTCCTCACGGCTCTCGCATTTTTAACAAACTCACCAACTTTATTCGCTCGCAGTACGCTCTCTACGGATACGAGGAAGTCATTACGCCAACTATATACAAAAAATCTCTATGGGAAACCTCTGGGCATTGGGAAAACTACAAGGAACATATGTTCAAGGTCACCGGATGGGAGGCGGAGGGAACAGAGCAAGCAACAATCGGTGAGCGGGAAAGGATAGAGGCAGAGGAAGAGTTCGGGTTAAAGCCAATGAATTGCCCAGGGCATTGCCTACTGTTCAAACATGTTGCGGGTAAACTGAGCTTGAGGGATTTGCCGGTTAGATATGCAGACTTCTCTCCATTACATAGGTATGGACCCCCATAGAGTTCTGTCACGCCTCCAACCCCCACTTGAGCGACCCACAACATGAGACCTGCGATGCCCTTGAACGGGGCATATTCCGCTAACATGAGCAACCAAGGAATGAGAATTCTGGATCCTTGAGCGGTCTCACCAGAGTGCGGAGATTTCATCAGGACGATGCTCACATCTTCTGTCGCCCATCCCAAATTTCCCAAGAAATATCATCAACGCTACAGTTCATTCAAACGGTCTACAGGGTGTTTCATCTGCCACCCTACAAACTGATGCTGTCCACGAGACCGAAGGAGGGTTACATCGGATCACTCGAGGAATGGGATCGAGCCGAGGCAGCCCTGAAGGCATCTCTAGACGGATCCGGCCAGGAATGGGTGATCAATGAGGGAGACGGTGCATTTTACGGACCGAAGATTGACACCATTCTCACGGATTCTGATGGAAAGGAGCACCAGACGGCAACAATACAATTGGACTTTCAGCTGCCTCAAAGATTCGGGTTAAATTACCTCGCACCTGCTCCAGCCGCGGAGCAGAAGGGGATCCTCAGTACGGATCCCGAGGAGCTGAAGGAGTCCGGTTTCGCCACGCCCGTGATCATACATCGAGCTATCCTCGGATCACTTGAACGTTTCATGGCGTTGCTAATAGAGCATTATAATGGCAAATGGCCTTTTTGGTTGTCACCTCGGCAGGCGATCGTGATTCCGGTTGCTATGACGGATGAAATAGTGACATATGCACGAGAGGTCAGGAAGGGGATATCCGGGTTGTCTGAGGAAACGGGCCGGATCAATGCGAATAGGCCATTACCAATGAGCAGACGCACCTTCAACGTCGACATCGACGAAAGTGGGGGCCTCCTTTCCAGGAAGATTCGAGCGGCTAGAACCAAGCATTACAATTACATTGTCGTTGTTGGCGAAAAGAATCTCCAAGCAAAGACTGTCAGTTTGGGCCCGGCATTTTCTCGGAATCAGGAGCAAGGGGGCAGAGAAGAGATGGAAAAAGGTCCGAAGGACATGCCAGCAGAAGAGGTTTATCAAAAGTTTGTCGAGCTGGAAAATGAGTATGCATAGATCATGTTACAGTACTGTACCTTAGAGCAAATAAAAAAAAAGCCTCCAGCCATGGTCGGTGGCTTCCGAGTCCAGTGGTGAAAGTTGGAGAGCATGAAGATGTTTGACAGGGAGTTGATGGACAGGGGTGAAGACCGGGAAAAAATTGACAGATAGAGTAACGACTGAGAAAGAAAAAACAAGAAATGGAGGGAAAAACAAAAAAGAGGCGAATCGACGCAACCATACCAGGAAAACCTCGAGCACACGGCACTGATTATGCAGGGTAAAACAGGGGACAGCGCAGCACTGTACCGTACGCATAAGCATTAAAACGATGCGGCCAGTGTGATCGCCGACCCGTTCCTGTTCTTGTAGTCAATGGCGATAAGGTGGATCTGCCCAATCCAGCATGAGCATGAGCTCGCGAATCTGGTCCCACTGTATCTCCTCCCGGTCCCTTTGACCGAAATGAAGAGAGCCAGGGCACATTTGACAGGAACACAGCTCCTCCCACCACAGTAAAACAACGGGGCCCATGGTCTCTATTCTCCCGTGTCCACCAGCACAGCACGGTGCTCAGCGGTGGTGCGGGCACAGCGCCTTGGCTAAAGGTCAGCCAGGGTCTGCACCGTCCGCAGAGTGCAGTGCTGTCATTTCGTTCCGGCCCAGGTTAAGGTGTAGAGTAATGATATTCCTGTGCTTTATTTCGACATGCCCATACTTGCAGAATTGTAGCGTACTGTACGGTACATGGCGTCATACTCGCTATACCTACCCCAAGCCAAGTTACCGTTAGTCCACGGTTGTTTCCATAACATTAGGGATTCCTTCCATTGAACAGCACTCGAGTATATATCATCCCGGTAGCCAAAATCCATCAGGCCTCCACCCACACAGTCCCCCATTATGGATGCATACGGGACTCCTGTACCGTGATATGATACCATATCATAAGATGTCAAAGCCCTCGCAGCATCCGGGGGAGTAAATGGGCTCGCGTACTGTATCCCGGGTACCCGGGTCGGCTTTGGGGGTCGTGTTATCGGGGGTCATTCTAGAACGATGGAGAGGAGAGGGGCGGGGGGGTGATGGAGGAAGAACAGGAAGATAAAAATAAAAATAAAACCCTTACCATCGGTCCCAGGTAAAAAAAACTGAAATCAGGAGTACAGTGGGTCTGCCTAAAGTAGCGAAACAGGTAATACAGATAGACAATGCAAGAGAGCGGGCGAAGGAAGGGGAGATTTCGATTTTCCCCCCACCTAAATCGCCCACCGTATGGCTATTTACTTGTACGATGCAGCGCTGTGCAGGGCAGCATGATACTTTCCTACTCACTCATTCACCTGCCAGAGAGTGCTGTACCATTTTTAATTTTATTTCCATCATTTTTCCCCTTTTTCCCAATAGTTTGTCAGCTCGTCCAGTGTTTTTTTTCTCCTCCACCTTTGCATGTGAAAAAGGAGCTACATATGTGGAAAGACCCGCTACAATAACAGAGTTAAGAGAACGAAATAAGATGGGATGGGGCGGAATGGGACAGTAAATAACGATTAAATTTTGCTCGTTTCACCATCTAGGTAAAAGAAGACAATTTGAGTCTGCCGGAGCAGGATTGAACGACTCCTCACCCCTTCATCCAACCAGAAAGGGGAACTGATTTCTTCTCGTTCCCTTCTGCGTTCCTAACTCTCTCCCTCACTTTCGCCCACTACCCTATTCCCCTCTCATTAGACCTACGCCCCCCGCTCTTTCTTCCCCTCCTTCCGCTCAGAAAACATCTCTGGCAGCTACTCGAGTAGAGACTTGGCTGTACGCTTGTTTCGGCACAGTTTGCAACCGTCCGGCATCGGGGGAACTTTCCCGGGAAGCCTGACGGTATCTTCTTACTCCCTCCGAAGCTGCCTATCTGTTTGTCATCATCTCTGCCCCCAGTAGCATACTCTACGACCCCCAGCAAATTCTCCATCTGCTCCTTCACGGGCAAACAAAGGATTCACAACGTTGTTTGGTCGTCCTCCGCACCTTGACAGCCTCGTCTGCTGCCTCGTGACCCTGGCTAGGGCCGTCGGTATCCGAACCACATACAAGCCCCAACCCGCATCTACGAAAATTTGGACTTATCAGGCGACAGGGGGGGTCTTGTTCCTGCATTCGCCACTCTTCCTTTCCTGAGTAAATCATACCGGTTTCCCACAACCTGGTAACAGCAAAAAAAAAAAAAAAAAAGAAGACCGAACGCAAAAGCAAAGAAAGGAGAGGGAAACTAAGAGTCTATTGTCTCTTTTCTCCCCATTTCATGCTTTGAATCCAAAAGTACCCGTTTCTAACCCCTTCCCCAATTTATTGCGTATCCTTTGTTTTTCTACTCCATCGCGGTGTTAATCCTCCCCGTATAATCTCCTCCGGCTGAAGTTTCTCCACGCACGAGAGTTCTCCATCCCCGTTTGTGTTCTTTTTTCTATACTTCTCTTGCCAGATCGTTTCCTTCTTTCCTTTCCTTTTCTTTTGGCCCATAAGTCCCGTCCCTGGCTGTCTGGGGACCCTGCAGAGAGGATCAAAGAAACAAAGAGCCAAAGCCCAGGAGTGCAGGCGCACGCAACAGGCATCTTCAAGAACGAGCAGAGACCTAGGCCTCCTCTCCTGTCGCCTCCCACAATTGACCTGGAGAGGTAATGTAGGGTGGAAGGCGCAATAAGGTCAATCGCAGGAACCATACACAGGTGCTATGGGAAAAAAGTGCCATACACAAAATGCCCGCTACGGAGCTAAATAAGCAATCCACTGCTGAGGCTCATGTCTCTTTTTCCCAAACACCACTTGCTGCCTCTCCAGCTCCTGATCCGGGAAAAGCTTCTGCTGTCGGAACCAGCTCCGGACTCTCCGTTTCTTCTACCAACAGTCCCGCGCCTGGTGAGACACTTTCAACTGATCCAATTTCTGACGAGAAAATGCCCTCCTCCGTGCACTATCGGAGTTTATCGCCTACAAACCCTATAGCTAGCTCGAAGGACATAAATACGAGGCCCATCCCCCCTCCTCTTCCCTCCTCATCATCACCACCACCCACTCCAACAGCATCTATAACTCAACATAAGAGACCTTCAACACCAGAATCAACACCTCCACAAACACAGGCGCAGCAGCAACCCCAGCCTCCACCCTCACCGCAAACTTCCAAACGTCGCAAGACCAAAGTAAAGCCACAAGAATCCAAAGAATCATCCCCAACAATGGCGAGCGATAGACCTAGGCTCTCTGAACAAGAGAAGAAGAACAACCACATTGCCAGCGAGCAGAAGAGACGCATGGCGATCAGAGAGGGTTTTGATAAGCTCACGGAAATCGTACCGGGCTTGGAAGGGCAGGGAAGATCCGAATCTATTGTTCTTAAGAAATGTTTGCCCCCCCCCCCCCCCACTCCTCTTACGTTCTTTAGGGTACGGATTGACTGAGAGAGATGAAAATGCTAATTATCTCTATACAGCGGTCGACCACATGCGCGACGTTCTCAATGAAAGACAGGAATTGATAAGGCGCATTAAGGCTCTCGGGGGTGAGATACCGCCAGACTTGCAATAGTCTACGGCACTTATATGTCCATTGCCTTGTCCCCGTGGGCGGGTAACTTTTTCTTTTCAATAATGGAAATCAAAAAAAGAGAAAAAAAATATAGAGAGGAGGGATGTTCGCAGTCTGTTTCTACTGCTTCTCGGACGCGAATGGCGACGGCGATGGCTAGATTGGAAAAGGGCGTAATTTGCTTGTTCCTAATTTATTTTTCATTCTATCTCTATTCCTTTTGTGCTTTTCCCGTGTTTTCGTTGGCAATTGAGTGGACTTTGTGGGAAAATCTGAAAAAGACAAAAAAAAATTGGAGCTGAGGAATTTTCCTTTTTTCTTTTTTGCAATAAGCTAGTTAGCTGTCTAAATTACATCTATGATTCAAAGATCTCATCTCGTCATATCTGCACAAACCGGTTGGGAGGGAGGGGATCTAAACATTTTTCTTTTTATATACGAGTCCGTATATAAATATATTTATACCACTTCGGAGAATTGTTCATCCCATGCCATCCTTCCTTGCCGGGATTGCGGTCAGTGCCGGGATGTTGGTTGGTGTGATGGGATGTCACCCCATGGCGCAACGCAGATCCAGCCAGAGATGAGATGAGATGAGATGAAAAGCTATCATACCAACTAGCACCTCAAGATCCCAATTTCCAACACCGACAAGAGAAAGCCATTACAACATTACAAGAACTTGGCAACATAGCACACCCCCTCCCTCCCTTCCCCCACACACCCAAGCAAGCAAATAAGTAAGTGAGTAAGTAAGTATAATACAAACACAACAAAGTCAACAATCAAGTAAGTGTCAAGTAAATAAGCACTACCACCACCACCACCATCATCACAGAAGAAGAAAAGAAAAAAAAAAGAAAATAGCGCACGGTACCGTACCATACCATACCATACCATACCATGCCATACAGTACAGTACAGTACAGTACAACACCTCCACCCCGAACGAGAACGAAAACGTACTCGTGCCGTAGGGCAGAGCAAATACTTACCCACCTACCCACCTACCTACCTACCTACCCTCCCTAACCAGCCAGCCAGCCTTGCAAGTATCATACTAACTAGCGGGTGTATGGTATATACAATTACCAACGCACGAATACCGACCGGTACATTCCATGTTTTTTGCCCCCCCTGGAGAGAAGAGAGAAAAAAAAAAGCCGGCAGATATGTGCCGTAGCGGGACGGGGGATCACGTTCAGGTACCGAGTTTAAGTTTCTTGCTTGCTCGATTGATTGATTGATTGATTGACAGCTGGTTTTTCCAGGCCGATTGGCGGGATTCATGTGGGTCGCGTGGGGGGGTTCATGTATGGTATTGTATTGTATTGTATGCTTGTATGTGTGTGTGTGTGGACATGCTAATGTGCCGGTATGCGGGTGCGCTGGCTGGTTTCTGCCCTACGGGAGGTATGGCAGGTATCATAGGGTGGGTGGGGATTGTTTTAAATTATGCGGAGAGGGAGAGAGATGCAGCGTGGAGCATCTGGAGGAGGATAAATTATTTGGATGGTATACCGTTTGGGTTTACCCC